TGCTGCAGACAGGTCCTGTCATCGTGCGGGCTCAACGTGAACCATTGCAGTCTACAAGCGAAGGTATAGCTCAAACGCTTACATGATTGCCATGCCACAGCAAACGACTATCATGCATATATATATATATATAATATATATATATATATATAAATGACTAACCCTACTATATTACTTACTTACTATAGCTACCAAGATTACTATCGAAGCAACATATTCTCAGTCTTTCCATCACATGAAATAAAAAATCTCTGCGTGTGCGTGTGTTTACGCGCGTGTCTGCGCGCCTACTTCCAGATCGTGGTAAGACTTACGGTTTTGCTGCCTGATTCCTTACGAATGTTCAACGATTGTCCTTACGATTAGCCTACTACGTTATACGCCGCTCGCAGCACATAATAGGATGTAGAACTGTGCGGGCGGTAGCTAAAAGCCAGTAGTAACAGCGCGAATTCGCTGAATCATATTTATACTGTGCGCGTTCGCACGCACGTGTCTACGTTCCGCATGAACTACCTGAACAACCCTGATCGCTGTACTAATACAGAAGGACGTTTAAATCGCGATGGGAATGTTGATTATTGTTATTCCAACGACGTTGAATTTACAACCTTCCATGAATTCGTATACGGGAGTAAGGCGGTACTCACGCGCGCACACTCATGTACATGTCTCTCAATGCATCAGCTATATATGTACTAGGACCTGCTCTTCAAGAGACATATTCATAACAATAGGCTGTAATTTGAGACGTCAATAACAACATAGATGGCACTCGGAGGAACAGTTTCGCTAGTTCGTGACTATCCGTAGCCGTATTATCCTGTCCGTGATCAACAGCTGCAGACGCCATCTTATAACAAGTTGTATGGTGTAGACGTCGGTCGCCGTTGACTGTCAAGATAATATTCTTCGGCCGTTCTTATACGTTCAAAGTGGAACCGGGCAGGGTGACAGCACGTGTGCATGGTAAAATCTGATCTACATGCTTCACTTCGCTGGCATCATCGCGCCACGATTCCCAGCTATGCTGATGTATGGGCAAATGGCGCTGCAACGTCGGTCGCCGTTGACTGCCAAGATAATATTCTTCGGCCGTTCTTATACACCCTTGTGCATATTAATTGAAGCAAGCAATAAAAAAGTACAAAATAGTGATTATTTTTAATTTCACTTGGTATTTTTATTATAACCCTCCCAAATGGACATATTAGAATAGTAACGGGGATGACCTCCTTTATTCTTCAGCACCATTTGAACGCGGTTTGGCATCGAGTCCACCAAGTTTGAACATTCCGTGCGGATTTTAGGGTCCCTGTGCCATACCTGAATCAGCGCCTCAATCAGCTTATCCATCGTCGTACAGTCCACTCCACGAAGGCGAATTTTGCAGATAGACCATAAATTCTCAATTGGATTCAAATCAGGAGAGTTCCCAGGCGAATCCAGTATTTCTATATGCTTCACATTCATGAAATTCTTCACCATTTTGGATGTGTGACAAGGGGCAAGGTCTTGTTTAAATATCCCAGAACCGCCAGGATACGTCTTTTCCAGTTCTGGAACCAGTTCTCTTCTTTGAAGGATTTCAATGTACTGTGGAGAGCGCATCATTCCAACGCATGGATGCAGGCTGCCGACACCATGGTAGCTGAAACAGCCCCAGAACATCTTTTTTGTGGGTGTTTGACGCCCTGGTCAATGTGAGAATCACGAAGCTTCTCTCCGGGTGACCTGCAAACATGCTGACTTCGCTGTCCCTGGACGAAGAAATGGCTCTCGTCACTGAATATGACATTTCTTCACTGTTCTATCGTCCAATTCTTGTACTTCTTCGCCCACTTATGCCATTTTGCTCTAGTTAGAAGTTGTTTCTTCACAGGTCTTCTGGCTTAATTTACAACCAACTGCAAAAAGCCGTCTGCGAACGGTGAAAGAACTGATTTGTATTCCTTTTTCCTTTAAATCCGTAGATAATGCGTCGCTCGTCTTGCGCGTTTTTTTTTTTACTTTGGCGGAGTAAGTAGACATCGTCTCTGTCGTGGTTTTCCTCTTACGACCACAATTTCCTTTGCGTTTAGAAGAAACCGATCCTGAATTTCTTTTTCAACTTGATGACACGACTGACAGTTGCGAGGCTGACACCAACCACTTGTGCAATCTCTCGATATGTTTTAACTGTGTGTTCGTGAAGCGTAAGCGATTTTTGTACGTTTTCTTGGTGTCACGTCCATCTCGGACGACGGTTGGAACACAAATAATTTACAGTTGAAACAATAGCGATGTTTCTGAAATCTGATGCGATATCGGCTAATGATTGCATCAGCCAAACCTGATCAACAACTCTATTGCGCATGCGCAATGACTTATTTTTATATATGCGAATAACAACCAATGAAACATGAATAACCATACGCCATATTGGGCTGTTTTCTGGACTTGAAATATGATTTAGCTTAAAACATGTGAAATACTCGTTTTGTTTCAATTAATATGCACAATGATGTACGTTCAAAGTAGAGCCGGGCAGGCTGACAGCAAGTGTGCATGGTAAAATCTGATATATATACATGCTTCACTTTGCTCGCAGCATCGCGCCACGATTCCCAGCTATGCTAATGTATGGGCAAATGGCGCTGCAACGTCGGTCACCCTTTGACTGCCAAGATAATACTCTTTGGCCGTTCTTATACGTTCAAAGTGGAGCCGGGCAGGCTGACAGCAAGTGACAGCACGTTAATTTAGAGTGTGGCATGCCTATAGAAGGTACCTATCGAAATATGCGCCCTCGCTATTTTAATGGAGTGGCGCTGCTCTGCCGAAGGTCCCTGGCTATACCAATGTACAAGGATAGAGCGCGGACACTTCGGCGACTTGTCGCACAGGGCAAATGTCTTAGGGCCGCCGTTAAGCATTTAATATACAGTGGGGCATGCCTAGAGAATGTGCGCAGTGTCGTCGTCGTGCTGTCTATTGTTACTATCGTCTGTTGTTATTTTATACATAGTGGCTACGCGTCCGGTCATCCATTACAAAGCTCAGCACAGATTCCCAAATCTACGTCACGATTAGGCCACGCCCCCTTTCAAATCGTTGATTTTACTGGATACACTATTGCTTCAAAAGTTTTAAAAAACAGATTTTTTAATAAAATAACTAAAGGTAAGTAATATATGGTAAAACTTATTGTTTATTGTTTTTACTGAAAAATATATAGTTGGGTTTACATAAGAAATATATGACCGCGACGCGTAGCCTGTGAGCTGGGCGTCTGGTAACCGACGCGTTGCCACGGCCTTATTTTGTATCTATTTGTTATTATCTGTCCGTTGTGGTGATTTATATTGTTTCGCTTCGGCATATCTGCTGTTTAAATAAATCGTATCACTTTGATACAATATAATCTTGACGATCCAATCATTATTTATTTATAATAAAAACGTAGAAACCATTTGTCTCTTTGCGTTTGTATTTGTAATGAGGCATATACAGATCAAATCCGCAAAATAATTTAATACCGGAGGGCTCGTTGTCAGCAACATAATAAATGG